TCAGCTAAAGTGCAGAATAGAGGAAAATGCACTTTTAGAACACTGTGTGATTGAATAATTCTGTGCACTTTTCGGTTTCAGACTTTTTTTGTAACAGGTGCAGCTGCTGAGAATTATTTTTGTTTCTTAACCGGTTTGGCTAGTGTCATTGTTATGTGTGCAAAGCTTAGCCAAGGAGGCAACACTTGATTTTAATTTTATACGTTTTTTTATTAAGCTTGCTTAATATTGTGCACAGCATAAAACCTTTAATGTATTTATTTATTGTATTTTATTTATTAATGAAAATATTTCTGTAGAATTTTTGAGACTTTGTTTTTATCCTTGTGGTATCAAAAATGGTATCGAGTATCGAATATTTTCCTTAGTATCGGTATCGAGTTGAAAAGATTAGTATCGTGACAACCCTAGTTTGTACCATATTTATATTTGGGAACATTGACTATTACTGTAGGTTATTTTAAAAAAGATCAGGACAGTTCTTTTCTTTGCAATAGTTCTCATTTTGTGATGGACTGGTCACCTATCCAGGGTGTCCTTTTAAATGCTGGAGATAGGAACTTGCACGTATACTGTATCAGGTATGCCTTTTTTAATTCCTTGTTAACATTTGTCAATGAGAGCGAAGAAACTCAAACAAACTGATTATTAGAATAGGGATATTTAGGTGTCTTTGAATGGCATGCTTGTTAGTGACAGACAAAAGGGTTTCAGTATTTAAGAAACTGTTGCCCTACCAGGTTTTCTCTCACAACTACTTCTAAGATTATAGATCAAAAGGTGAGAACGATGGAAGAAAGATAACAGTTGCTAAAATAATCAACTGAGATGAAAATTACCACCTTTGAATACCAACATGTCGAACCTTGAAGCAGATGCAGATGTGCTACAGCAGCAGAAGATCACATAGTGTCCCTTTCCTGTAAGAACAGGAAATGGAGGAAACTGTTTCCACAGGTTCAGGGGGAATAAAATAAAATAACAGATTGGAAAAAAACATTGCGAAGTTCAATGTGCTTCAGTTTTGGTTGCGTATTTCAAATGGTAGGGTCAGATTTTGGAGTAAAAAATATGAAGACTTGGATTCTTCCTGTTCACATCAATGGTTCAGGCTGTCCATGGTGGTGTTATAGTTTGGGCAATATTTTCCTCGTACAATGTGGCCATCTTAACAAATCGACAAAACTTTAAAAGCCAAAGTAGGTGGAAGTCCCAAGATCTTCCTCTAGTATTTTTCAATACAAGATCTTCTGCATTAAACCCACCCCTTAAGGAGAAGTGAGAAGCTTGCAGGAAGCATTGTGGAGCTTGAACTGTGGAGATTGAACCAGGCCTTTTCAGACTTCTTAGGAGCAGAACCTCACCCTGTTTTTAGGGGATTTTATTTTTTTGGGGGGGATATGTGCAACATTCAATTCTGCATCATGGCTTTACAGCTGCCAAAGTTGCAGCACCTGTGTAATGCCCTTATACAAATATAGACTAAAATCCCTGAGGAATGTTTTGCACATTATGTTGAATATCTGTAATGAAAAATAGATTAAGTTCTGAAGACAAAACTGGTGCAACATGTTACCAGCAAGGTGCACCTGATAAATTAGAAAAACATTTTCCATGTTTTGTCAGGGTACTGCCCCCTGCTTGGGTTTAGTTTGCGTTTCTTTGTGCTCTGTGTCTTTGTATTTGTTTTCTAGCAATGCTGAGTTCTTACGTTCCTCTCTGTTTCCCCCTTGTGTTTGTTTCCTTTCCACCGATCTCTATTTATTCACTGGATTGCCGATTGCCCGTTGTTAGTACGGGGTTGAAGTAAAGCCACCGGCCGCCATATTGATACTTCCTAGTTACACCGGTCGCAATGTAAACAATATGTGTGCCACAGTATCGAACAATGATGATGTTCTCATTTTCAGGGGGACTTAAGACTTTTGAAATAAAGATAAATTCATCACTTTGACACACACTGGCTGTTTCATAGCATAAGTAGATTATTTTAATTTATAATGAAAAAAATAGGCACATCAAATTGCATAGTCATTATGAAGTCAGTGAAGTCATATATATATATAGGGCTCAAATGTTTGGTTGGTTTTTCTTTCGTCAATATAACATGCAATATGTTATTGGCACATTACTTTTTCAAATGAGAAACAAAACAAACACTAAAAAAACGACAGTGTTATCCACTTAAAGAATTTCTACATTGACCTTTCACAGGGAATTGCTTTTGATTTACTTTACTTTCTATTTTCTTACATTAGACACGATGTCATGCTAACTCAGTTTTCCATTCAGTTTGAGATAGCCAGACTAATGTTACGCTACATAGTATACTATAGGATACATTCGTGTTTATATTGATTTTGTAGGTTAGTACATCCACTGATAGTGAAATTACCTGTGAAACGACTTCCCACAGCCAGCAAACTGCTTGTTTTTGCATTCAAAACGCTACCCATGTAGGCATTTTTACTGCGTGTCTCTGTGAGAGTGGGGAGTACCAGCATGGCGGACAGTGGCTTCACTTTTTTGGGCTATAAGCAATCCAGTGAATAAATATAGATGAGTGTTCCTTTCCCCATGGCTTCCTTCTAGTTGATCTTGCCCACACCTGCTCCCAAGCCTGTCTCGGTTCAGTCTCCCCATATATACACCACCTCTGCAGTCACTCAGTGCTGCTTTGTTGTTGTTTTGTTGATTCCTCATCTCTGGCTTTTTCCCTGATGTGTGCTGATTTTTTGGTTCCTTGTATTTTGATTTTTGGATTTTTGCTTCATCAGATCTACAAGTCTCACCTCTGCCCCTTGATCTCTGCATTTGGGTCCTCAAAAACCTCCACTCAGCTGTGACATTTTTATACTTTTATACACCTGTTCTAAAATACCATGAATTTTATAGATGATTTAAATAATGTATAACTGGCATTGTAATGCAATCTGTGTGATAAAGGAACAATGTTCTCTTCTTTCTCAGATTTTCCCTCTCAGTCGTTGAATTTTCAAATGATCTTTAGACATTTTATTGGTTATTCCTTGCAGTTTTTTTTGCTGATAGTTAATCAAGAAAGAAAATAAACCCTATGGCTGTAACCCTGAAAAAAGAAAATGAGAAAGTTGTGTGGTTTTCAGTTTGGATTGCAAGAGGTCCCTCTAGCAAAGTATTTCACTGAAATCAATCCAGCCCTCCCTGGCTTTTTATCGGTCACGCATACGTACATTACGAAACACGGTACCAATGCTGGCTTGGACTTTTCAAAATAAAAAGGTTAATGATTTTTAACTACAATCATTTATAATGCACACCCCTCTGGTCTAAAATGATTTATGTGTTTCTGTGAATATGGATATAGAAGAACGATTTTAATGTATTTTTTTATTTAATTAGTGTTTTACATGAAAGGTTCGAGCGCTTTATTTCAGAATGCCCACTTTTTTTTTTTTACCTGAGTTTCAATTGTTGTTAAACAAAAACGCTATTTCCAGTTTCTTATTTCATTTCAGGGTGAGAGTAGAGCATTCTAACCAGAGCTCATCATAGTCTGATATGGAATTTCAAAATCAAAAACAATAAATCTAAAATTCTATCTAATCTTACGTGAATATTGCTAGGAAACCTTCTGTTTATAGTTAATAACGTCATTTAAGGTTGACAGTAGGGCCCCCCTAGATGCTTCTCACCAATTATAATCAAGATCTGATGTGGAATATAAAAATTATAGCTTCTCAAAATATGTAAAATTGGTCTCTTTTATCTACTGTAAGTCGCTGTGAATATTGCTAAAGAAAACTCCCTGTTTCCTGTTTCCAGTCATTTATTTAATCTCAACGTGACAGTAGGACACCACTAGATGCTTTGCACTAGAAGTAATTGAGGCACAGGAAGACACAAAGCAGGATGTACTTCCTGAGGAGACTGAGGTCGTTCAACATCTGCAACAGGCTGTTGGAGATGTTCTACCAGTCTGTGGTTGCCAGTGTCCTGTTCTACACCGTGGTGTGCTAGGGGAGCAGCACATCCATGAAGGACACCTCCAGACTGGACAAACTGATGACTATTGTCAATCGTGCAATATTCCTCTCTCTCTCACTGTGCAAGAACACATGCCAACTACTGTATAGTCTCTGTATTTTTTTCACTTTTTTATAAATTAAAATATATTAAACTTATTTGTCCTCCAATATTAACAGCAAAATAGAAAAAAGTTAACAATTTTACAGTATTTGAAGGACTTTCAGAATTTCACATCAGACCTTAATGATATTTGGCGAGTAGCATCTTGGGTTATTTATCCTGAGGTGCAATCGGCAAATGGAAACTGGGAGATTCTAAGCAATATTGATGGTAACTTAGACAACATAAACTAATTTTACAGATTTTGAGAGGCTTGCTGTAAGCTTGAAGCAAAATCGTTAACTAGAAACAGGGATGTTTTTAACAATTTTGACAGCAACTTAGATAAAAGAGACCAATTTTTGAAATGCTTACAACGAAGTACAAATACAGTACAAATACTTCGTTACTGTACTTAAGTACACTTTTTAGGTGTCTATACTTTAGTCCATTACTGATTTTTCTTCCTACTTCTGACTTCTACTCATTACATTTTCACACAAGTATCTGTTAGTCTTGGCTTCAGTTTAATGTTTATAAATATTTATTTCACGTCATGTGCTCCATCGACATCTAGTGAAAACTAGTCTGATTGGATGAGTCATATAACGCAAACACTCATTGGTTAGCTAAAGGAAATCATCAGAAGCAAGCAGGTGTTCTTCAAACTGCAAACGTGAATTGTCTATGCCATGCTACAATGTGGGATTCAGAAAAAGATGTTGGAATGTCTGAAAGTATCGGGAGATGGAGACCAACAAGACCTCCCTCATCCTTGGCCCTATCTCAAAGAATTTTTCGAAATAAAAATTGTGCTTTAAATTCATATAGGGACATCTGGCCGTTTTTTTTAAAGGTTACTTTATACTTTTATACTTTAAGTAGTTTTGGAGTACATACTTTTTCACTTTTGAGTAAAGAGGTCAAGTTGATACTTCAACTTTTACCAGAGTGTTTTTAAACTGCAGTATCTATACTTCTACTTAATCAGAATCAGAAATACTTTAATAATCCCAGAGGGACATTACTTTTGTTACACGCTCCAGTTACAGTTTTATATATCTATATACCCTTCCAACTACACAAGATAATAAAGATAAAAATAAAAAAGATAAAATATATACACATATAGCTCTTCTGTATATGTATATATATATATA